CCCCCCCCCCCCCCCGCACCCCCGGGCTCCCGGCACGCTCTGTACTGTTTCATCTATGACTAATGCGTTTTCTCCGCGAGAAGGGTGAGCCTGGTACTCTTCTAATTAGACCTGGCTCCTGGACGCCGGGAGGCTGAATGAAGGAGAGTTGGCCAAGAAACTAAACGAAACCATTAGTGGGATAGCGGCCTCCTCCACCCGCCTGGTAGCGGGGAGCAATTGTCGTTCCCAGAGGCAGAAGTTCCTGGCGAGCCCTGTCAGGGGGAAGAAGAATTTGGGTTTGGGATGGTCGTGAAGGGGCTTTGGGCAATGAAGAGACAGCTTTATATATCCCCTTAGGATCAATTCTGTGAGGCCTGATGCGCAGTTTTGAACCAGAGGGACAGAGGAGCCCAGGAAAGAGTCAACAACCCATTGGCAAGAAGCCAACCATGTTCTCTTGCAGAGTTTCTAAGCTACCCTTTTCCTGCGTTGGTGTGCCAGTAGGGGACGATCTGTTCGGAGTGGCCATTCCCAATGACGGCGGTGGGTCCAGGGAAGGAAAGGGTGGGGATGCCTGGAGGGAATTCTTTCAAAGAGTAGGAGGTTCTAGTGTTGGCTCCCAGCCCTCTAGGATTACTTTGTCACTGGTACCAGGATCTGCAGGTTAGGGCCTTGAAAGGTTCAGCTGTCCAGGCTAAAAACTCAGTCAGAAAAACAACAGCAGAAGGAGTAAGGAGGGTGTGATCAACAGATCAGGGGGAGGACACTGGGAGGCAGAGCTGCAGAAATGAAAGCCAGATTGGCAGTCCATTTTTAACTCAACTCAGGCAGCTGTAGGCCTGAAGGTCAGGCCAGCCGAGGAAGGAGATGTTGATAGGCTGGTCTCTGAAAGCAGATTGCCACTTCTCTTTAAAATAATAGAAAAGTAGAAATAAGCAAGCCCATTTAAGCTAGTGTGTTCAGGACCCATGGATATGGGCCCCTGGTCAGATTCAGATGTCAGCTGCCTGGCAGCCGGAAGGGGAGAGGATAGGTACAGGCAGACCTTCCTTTCCTTATCTGGGGGGCAATATTAATGAGCCTGCCTCTTACCTGCCTTCAGGGAGAGTTGTTAGGATTAATAATTTAGGACTAATGGGTGGTCTAAACACGCACAGTGAAATAAAGAAATTGCCCATTTCCATTTCCTTAGGGTATGTAGGCACAACTCATAAATTAAGTACTCCCAAGGGGCCAGAAAGATTATTAGACCTTTATACTCTCAGCTCACCTAACTGAAATTTTGCAAAGCCCGTTGGGACTTTATTGCAAGGAATAATTTACCTATGTTACAAAAGACTTCAAATAAAATCATTCTTTTGGGCTGAATTTAGCCTTGCTCTCAGGAAATACAGGGCATAAGAAATGATTGATGTAGAACACATAGCTGGAATAATTAGTGAAAACTGTCCTTTTTAAAAATCTACTTAAAAGGGTAAAATCCTTTCTGTTACCACTAATTTGCATCTTTGCAGTGTTATATAAACAGAGCTGATTTTTAACAAGGAAGCATAGAACAGAATTAGGGAAAAGGAAGTGCCATAATAGTATTGCCATGAGATGACATACTTAACCTATTAGATTTTTTAATGACGTGGATACAGGTAATTATTTATCACTGAAAGTTCATCACATTGGTGAATTTCAGGTATTTATCAGGCGCAGTGATGAAGTACATTTTATTGCTATTTTATTATATCTGCTATAGTTAATACTTAAAAAATAGTTTATGAGGGTGCTTACTTGGAAATAATAGTTGTATATAAACAAAAAATCTAATTGATTAAGTAATTTGATACACCAATATATTATAGAAAACTACCTAAATCATAAGCATGCTTGCTTTTTTCTTACTATTTACTCATCTATCTTCTTACAAAAAAAAGAAGTAACAGTAACATATAACAACAGTATATTCATCTGATATATGAGCAAATGTTTAAATTGCAGGCCTCCTCCTGTATGAATACTAGTATAGTGTAGTACTCATAATATCATTGTTTACATCAAGTATAAATTCAGAATACCAGGGATATTTCAATAAACAAACAAAACTATGGTGCTTTAATATATTATTACAGGAAATACTGGTGTCATGTGTATTCATGATTTGGAATGTTGAATATTTACTATATGTTTCACCTACCATTTTTCTCTCTTTATTCAGTATAAGCCTGAGGTCTTATTAATACATCTACATTCAGTGCCTTGCCTATTTCATTTCATAAACTTTGACACTAAGGGAAAAATTATTGCTTCTTAATCTGCAGTGGATTCAGAGAGGACTTATAGGACACGGAAGTTGATCTGTATAATATCTATGGTCCCTGAGCAAGCTCGTAGTGTTGTTGTGAGGATTGAAAGAGATTATACTCAAAGCTAATTATTATCTTTTTTTAAAATAAACAAATCTGAACTCTTTAAAAGTAATTGTCTCTGACTATCGTTGGTTGTACTAAATTTGTAAATCTAGTGCCCATGTGAAATCTTAGAACAGGACCTGGTACATAGCAAGTGTTTAATGCATAATAGTTATTATTATTGCAATTATTATTGTCCTGAAATTATAGTTCTCAGGTGTCAGTGCAGCAAGCACTAAAGGGGCTAAGTGGGGTCGGGGAAGTATTATTAAAGTAGAACAAACTTTATGGTCTTTCCTGTTTGCAGGAAATATGGAAAATATTTGCCACTGCTTGGGAAAGCCTTTTTCATTATAACACACTAGAGGCTCGGTGCACAAATTTGTGCACCAGTGGGGTCCCTCAGCCTGGCCTGCAGGATCAGGCTGAAACCGGCTCTCTGACATCCTCCAAGGGTTCCTGAATTGCGGGGCACAGGAGGGACCCCATCAGTACATGATCGGGGCCCACGATCAGGGCCAGGAAGGGACATGGGAGGGCTCCAGGGTGTGTCCGGCCCATCTCACTCAGTCCAGACTGGCCAGACCCTAGCAGCAAGCTAACCTACTGGTTGGAGCGCCTGCCCCCTGGTGGTCAGTGCATGTCATAGCGAGCGGTTGAGCGGCCTTAGCATATCATCAGTATATTACGCTTTGATTGGTTGAACAGATGACAAGACTACTGGACACTTAGCATATTAGGCTTTTATTATATAGGATACATAATTGTATGGGAGAGCAGGAAGATCTCCCAATGTAAAAAATATAACGTAGGTAAAGTTATTTTGATGCACAATACAGAGTTATACATATTAACTTTCCTTTATTAACCTAGGAAATCATTTTCTGGACAAAATTTAACTTTATACATATTTGAAATTATGACTATAGAACCACCTGATTGTTTCAAGATATGTATGACCCTCTGTTAACATGCTGGATGAGATATATTTTATCATTATTTTTGTCTTTTAGGATGCTCCAACCAATAACATTTTCATTTAAGAATTAAATATGCAATATGAGTCATTCTGTAGAATGATAAGGGATTTGCCATTAAGGTAACATGGAAACTTATTCAGTATAAGACAAGAAAAAGCCCTGATATAAAATAATATGTAATAGTTGCTGCTGTAAGCTGAGAGAATCTTCCAGTAGCAGAAGGCATTGCCTTTCTAAATTTGAACAGAGAAATGGTTACCATAGTGACTTATCTCTTAAAATAGTTGTATGATTTTTTTTTCTCTTTCAGAACAATGTTATGCATTATCTTCCCATAATGAAAGCTGATATGTTTTAAATGCACACAATCTCTCTTTCTTCTTGATTATGAAAAGATTTATAATTTAGGTGCCCACATAAGTGAATGTCAGCCAAGAACATGGAATAGGTCCTTGACATTTTTCTAGGGATAAAAATCTTTGCAAATCCCAAATTTAAGAATACCACAATAACACCATTTTTCTGGAATTCTTATGTGCACAAAGATAAGAAGAGAAAAATAAAACAATATGTTCATGTAGGTGCTGTACTTTATTGGTCTCCCTCCCTATACCAGCCAAATGTCCTATTCTGATGGATAGCCTTTGCATAGCTTTTGTTATTCACATTCGTGTCCCAGAAAAATGACATATTGCTTTATAACATAAACCTGTGGGGTTGCACGAGAATAGAATTAAATCCAAGGATGTCAGTGTAGAGAATTCTGCGAGTAGTCTTTACAATGTGTCTGACCCCATTCTGCAGATGTAAAGCATATTAAGAAGTCTGAGAAAATCGCAGACAGATTCTTTTGTTTTTTCTTTCTTTTTCATTTTCATGTTGTAGTATTTAGTTGCATGACCTATGGGGCCTGACTGCCTAGGTTCATATACCAGCAATGACTCAAGCTGTACAGACTTTGATAAGACACTTAACATGTCTCTGCCTCCATTTCTACCTTTAGAATAGGGAATATAATGACATTACCTCATAAAGGGCTGTTGTGGGATTAAATGAGTTCATATTAGCCATGATTATAATTAGGAATTTTTCTCTGATTTTAAAAAATCACCATTGCCCTGGTAACATTTTTATGAGAAGGTAGCTAGGGGAGT